CAGGTCACACAAATGCAGTCGATTTTGTTTTGGATCATCGTGAAAGAGCCCAGAAATTAGTTTATTGTATCTGACTGTGTGTGTTCTTGGACTATTGTGTTTATTATTTTAGCCGATTAATCTTGATAATTGATGCAGAAGATGTCGCAGTGCTTTACATTACTTCTGTAGCTCAGTTGTCGTCAATTAGTTTTCAAATGAATGTTTGTATTCTGCCTCTGCTCTACAACAACAGAAAAAGGAACCGGCAGGGTTTGTTCTGTGTTGTTCAACGTATAGAAAAACAATACAAATCTAATCATCACTATGTTTATTGGCACATGGTTTACATTTGTCACAGGAATGTCAGATAAAGCCTGGGCTGAGAGGCTAAAAGCAGCTGAGCTGAGGTGACATGATGGCTTGTGTTAAAATATAATATATTTGAAAGGTGAAAATGACCCAGAGCAGATGTTGTGCACGGTGCACCTGCGGTTATTGGGGTTGCTCTCCTTAAGAAATCAATTAACACCACTTACATTCCTTCATCAGTGCAGTTTTGCTACGTGCCCTTGTGACTTAAAGGCAAAAAGAACCCAGAAAACATGTTGCTCTGAAGGAACATGTAAAACCATTTAGGGGCTAATATTGAAAATGTATGTCTCTATAACCATGTGTGGAATGTAGAATGTGTTTTTAATCAGGGATATGGCTGCACTTCCTCCCACTGCAGATGTTTGAGTGAACATGGGTGTGACAATAGCCTATTCATTTTTCTTCTCTTGTTGGTATTTCAACATTCCTCAATTTATGTAGTCCTGGTGGTTTGCGCCTGTTATCAAACTTCTTTGCTCCTTGAGCTAGCAAATAGCTAGCTAGCATTAAATGGACAGGTTTTTGACAGTGCTGAAAACATGTTCGTTAATCATTTTTCTATGAAAATCAAATGTAATAATTATAAAATAAGGGAATGTTTCTTTACATATGTTGCTGTCAGTTGATGGTGTTTTGCTGAGGGGGAGTTATATGACTTGACAGGCATCGCCACAGCATCAGGAGAAACCTAAGATGCTACGTGTACTGCACAGCAGCAAACATAATGCACGGTTAAAATGGCAGTGATACAAGGATTTGGAGGAGAAATAAAGACTAAAGATGAATTCAATAACACACCTAATCCCTCACCTGACTCTGAGACATGTTGCTGTGAATGGGGTTATCCAGACACAGGGCTCATGGGTAATGGGAAAAGAACAGCAGTGGGGTTTCTCTGAATGAGAACATGATGCGTTGTGACCCCGGGATGGCCTTTCTCCGTCTCTACAGCCCGGGGCAGGAAGGCTGGGAGAATGTGAGCCGGTGGGGATTGTTTGATTGGCGTGCCAACCAAAGCAAATACACCAAAAACTGGAGCGGGATGAGAATGTTTGAGTGCAGAGGACGTCAGGATTAACATGTAGAATGGGAGCGAACATGCAGTACAGTGCTTTACGTTGCCAGCTTGAATGAAACCGTAGTATTACTTCAGAAATCAATGGTTGAAAATGTGCCAGCTGAAAATTCACAGTTCCACTCGATGACTGCGACGGGGAGCGCTGCACTCTGTCTCCAGCTTATTGTGCTGAAATAATTACACAATAATGCTGTCCTCTGTAACTACAGCCCCCCACACTTGGACAGGGTCCATTAAAACTACACCCCTTTGATAATTGTGTGGCAATATAGCAGATCGATAGAACCATTTATTTGGAATTGCTTCTAAAGTGGGAATCCTTCATGCATTTCATAAATATCAGGAGGACAAGGTGTAAGATGGGATGACTGTTGATATCATGACAAAATGTCCGCAACGTACGAGGTGTGGCCAACGCCTGGGGACACCTACAGTTCTGTAAACACTCTTTACAGTTGGATTTTGATATATAAACTCATAGAGTATATACAGTTTTTCCTCTGGCATCTTGATCCTTTTTTATTACATTAAATTGTATTTTACTATTTTTAAACCATTCGTAAGCTTGAGTGTGAATACTCTATTTCTCGTTTCTCCTTGGAAACAAGATAGAATGGACATGTATTATTTAGAAAAATGCTTCTGCTACCGCATAGACATTTGACAATTGCATATTACTTTAAATTATTCAAGCTATTTCATGAAATTACAGCTGTGTTACGCTCATGGAAGTTGCTATGCAGTTTTGCAAAAGTGCACCTTCAGGCCTGAAAACTGACTGATCAGCTGAGTCTGGAGTGTGTTCCTGAAGGAACGACATGGGGGGAAAAAAACACTTTAAAATCTATGTGATGTGAGTAAAATAACAGAGTATGAAAGGCCTAACCAAAAAGTCGATAACAGCTTAAATTCTTTCCTGTTTTACTAGTTTTTTTTCTGCAGTGGCCTTGCTGAAAAAAGCTCTTTTGTTTCCAGACAGTCAATATTAAACTGCCTATAACATTCTGTTCTTTGATAAATCAGCGGTACAAAAGCTAAGGTGCTGTGACTATGGTTAATGTGCTTCCATTTCTATATTTACAAGTCCGGGTCATAAATAATGATGGGTTACTTGCCAGCCATGTGATTATGCCGGCTATTATTCATATCGGAAATGTATTTCTGATTTTAGGTCAGAGCTCCTGACAGCACTAGTTTGTCTGCTTGGCTTCTTTAAAGTGAAATGTTATATGGCTGCCATCAAAAACCAGTGTGTGTGCGCGTGTGTGTAAGTCGATAGTGTAATTGTGTGTCATTTCACTCTGCTTATCTTTGTTAATAATCATCCCTGCGTGGATGAATGAAAATGTGCGGCACAAGTGTCAGAAACATCTATCAGCATGTCTAATGGAGTCTCTGGTCAATGAAAAATGCATCAGCTGATTCACTTGGGAGGGTTGAAACGTAGGCCTTCGCACTTAGAATTATTTATGTTGGTAGCTCAGCAAAGAAGAAGCAAAGCAGTAATTGTAATCCATATTTTATGATCTGAATGACAAGGCCTTACTGTCTGACATACAAAACACAAAAAGGATTTTTTTGACGTACTATAACTAAACTAAACAGGACTTTCCTTTTTCTGTAAATGTTATGAAGTATTTTGTGTGTACACAGTATACATTTTTTTTAGTTTGCATAATACTGTCATTAGGATTTGTCACATCTAGCAACAAGAAACTGAGAGAGACTCCCAAGAAACCACCAACACATGCATTGTGACCGAATTATTAATATTTTTCATTACATTTTCTCATTTGGTTGTAATTAATTGAGGAAAAAATATGTATGGATACTGTTCATGAGAAGGTCAGTGTCTGGATGTTTCATTTCCATTTGTTTTATTTAATTCCATCATCCTCAAATGTGACACTAACAGTAAGTCCATATTAACGTTGCTAAAATCGATGTTACTGGAACCAAAAGGAAAGGTGAAGTATTAAGACAGAAGACCAAAGGTATAGAAGTGCATCACACTCAGTGAGTCTTTGTGTGACCGGGCTTCTTTCTGTGTATGAAAGAAAAGGATGTGTCAGTCAGATTCATACTTTTTCTATGTCTCTTTGCTTCTTTTGTCCCGTCCTCAGTGGCTGGAGTGAAAGCTTTCTCTACTCACTCTTCTAACTGTGTGGTTATTTTGCTGCGCTGCATCTTTTCAGTACTCATACAGCGAACACAGGCAGGATGGCCTTGGTTTGCTGGCTTTAGAAAAGAATATCAATCAGTCATTTATTTGAGGGTTGAACACGGAGTAGCTGGTCTGTGATATATTTGCTTTGGTAAACTTCAGAATAAAGTTATGTTGACTATTTTGAATTGACATAACATTTATTGTCAAGTAAATATAAGTCAATAAAACATAAATTCTAAAAAATTGAATTTATTTGACCTGCTGTTCGATCCTGGACCTGTAAGAATTCTGCACCCCCTAAAAGAGACCACCCTCCACTTTGGAAACCACTGGATGAATTCATGGCAGCAGGTAAGTGTTTTCTGTATAGTGAGTTATTAAAGTTGTTATATAACATTATTATTATTATTATTATTATTATTATTATTATTATAATTTTTAATCACTCTTCGTCTATGGTTTGATCTGAGGAGTTGGTCTTCACATCAGGTTCCAGGCATTTTTTTCAGACTTCTATATTTACATGGATTTGTGTGACGTCTTCTACAGCCATCCCTTGTGTGTAAACCTACGGTCTCCGAACAACGACCTCTGTCACCTCCACATCTATGACCCTAACGAGCTAGTGATGTGCCGTTCGCGAGTGAGTCACAAGTGAATCATGAACGAATCTTGAACTAATTATTTCATTCATTTTACAGCAGGTGGGAGACAAAATCTCTGTCAATCATCCACAGCAGTACTGAAAGGTAGCACTGCCAAAGTAGATATATGACCTGTTTTTTTTTCCTATAACAAACTTCTGTGCTGCATCATTGTGTGATTAATAATCACATTTAACCCTGATAATACAGATTATTAATATAACATGACTTTCTGGCGAAGATTGTATACAGGGGCTGTGGCAGGTGTAGCTCCGCCCTGATTGGGGCACTGTGGTCAAAAAGGCTTTATTGTTGTATATATATTCAAATTTTCTGTATATATATTCAAACTTTCTGTATATATATTCAAACTTTCTGTATATTCAGACTCTGTATATATATATAAATTCAGACTTTTTGTATATATATTCAAGGATTAATTTCCTGAACGGCATGCCATTATGTCTATATATGTATGTATGTATGTGTATATATATATATATATGTATGTGTATATATATATACATCATATATATATAAATATATATATATATATATGCTCTGTATATTAACAGGCTGTTTAGGTAGTTTAGAAATTTACGTAGTTTATGTAAATGCCTCACGCGGTTCACTCTGGCAGTAGCCAATTAAAAAGTACATTTGAGCCTGCAAGACTTTGTTTGGTCAAGAGCCAGAAAGTGGGCAGTCCTTAAATTCTCGACACGGAAGTGCAAAGTACGCGAAGTGCAAAGTTATTTGGTTGCGGTTAAGGGAACTAAGTTTTGTTCCTTCGGATGTGGCCCATGCATGCATGCCCAAAATGTTCCTCAAAGGGCCGTGTGGCTGCAGGTTTTTGTTCCAACCAACCAAGAGCACATAGTTTGACCAATCAGCTGTCTGAAGACTGAGACCAGTTGATTAAACCTGTCAACTCAGGTGTGTGTGGTTGGAACAAAAACCTGCAGCCACAGTGGGTGCACAAACTGTTTTGTGCACGTTTGTGCACCCACCAAATAGTAATATATAAACTGCGGTCGTATGTCGAAGCGTCAATTCACCGGCTCGCTACAATATCCAGGTACAGTAATTGTGTTGCATTAGTTGCATAAAATAAACAAAGTGAAAATGAGAGTCCAACAAGATTATGTGCGGTTGAACGTATTTTAAAATGCAAATAAATTTGATGGAGCTTTGAAAGAATATGCACTTGAATGATTTGTCATTCAAATCCATCCAGTGTGTTTTCTGTTGTCACATACTTTTTGGTTTTAATTGTAGGGCTTAACTGAAAGCTGAGGTGTTAATTAGTGTCCTGCTCTAAATAAGGATGGGAAGGTGTTGGTGTAACAGCTTGAGTTAAGGTAGGTCATCGTTATTGCCTTGGGCTGTCGCATTGGTGAGTGAGTCAGTGTTGATGATGTACTTGCTTAATTGAAAGCTGTGAGGTTTGACGCAGGTGCTTGTGATTGTTTGTCCTTTCAGAGGTTCTCTGTAGCAATTTCAAGATCAGACTGACCTGTATTGGCCAAATATCCTTTACACGTAAGTTTTTTTCTCTGTTTTGTTCTGTTGTTTTGAAATGTTCCATTATATCCATACTCCCCTGCTGGCTGCAAGAAAAAAACGACACGTGACTTCTCTTTAATATTCTCTCTTTAAAAGTGTTTCCATTGGTGTAATTGTATATAATTAATGTAATCATAAAGAACTTTAAACAAATGTTACACTAGTGCAAAATAATCTGTGCACTCTCTGTCTTCCCCCTGTTCTTTCTGTCTGTCCCTCTCACTGTATATGTGTGCATATATAGTATACCTATATGTAGATTTATATACACACACAGAGAGAGAGAGAGCAAGTACAGAATGTTTTGCACTAGTGTAACATTTGCATGAATTTAAATAGTTTTATTAATAGATTTATAAGAATGTGACGATAACATCCCAGAGATGAAAAGGGTTAATTAAAATAACATTAATGATCATGTAAATTAAGGTGAGGATTAGCTCTTTGCCTCGGCCATGATAGCTATCAGGAGTATCCGATCAGATTATATTACTTGGTAATCCAATTTATGTGTCTCTTTATAATAATTTTAGGCAGGTAATCAGCAATTTGAAATGGATTATCTTTTCGGACCAACCTCATCAACCCTGCTAATCTATTATGCTTCACCTTAATGTAATTTCAAATTAAAACAGGTGACAATTCATTAAGTGGGTGCAGAGGCACTGGAGTGCCTGACATTCTGCAATTACGGCCCATAGTTGTGGTTCATGACCCCAGAATGGACCAACGGTGACAACGACCAGGAACGCTAATGGAAATAGAGAAATGAGGGGACAAGATGGCTGACACACTCTTAGCAAAGGGCCCGACCGCCCTGGAAGGTGAGAACAGGCTTTTTGTAATTGGTTAGCCAGGATTGGCACTGAAACATTGTGGGCTCATGATAGAAAATGTGCTCCGGGCAAAAACTAAGACAAACACAGAGGCTGGAAAATGAGTGTCTGTTGAGAAATGTTGCACCAAGGGTAGGTCTTTTGCATGAAACAAATGGCAAGAGGGGGCAGCATTAAAAAAAAAACAGTAGTATTTAACATTGGTCTCAACAAAGCAGCTGAGTGCCTGAGATTAATGATACCCATAAAAGTTTAATGGCCCCATGTGATTAAGACATTAGGCCACCTTAAGTGTGATAATTTAGTTTTAAGTATAGCAATATTCCATGATGCCAGCATATCATGAGTTTTTTCAAGTACGAGTCGTAGCCTTTAATTTTGACAAGTAAATGTAGTGGTGCATTCTTTTTTCTCCAACGCTGTTTTCACAGCTGCGTGACGAGACAGTCTTTCATGCCAGTTAATTAAGTGAGATCACTAGACGCATCATGTCTTAAATGAAGAATGACATACTTGACGCAAAGCAGCAGCATCAGTTCATAAACATTGGAATGTTGATTAAAATATATTGATAATATCTTGACAGTTTAGAGCAGACCCTACAGGGAGATGTGTTTAGTTCAAGGCATGCTATTTAAATTGTGAGAATAAAACTCTGGCATTTTGAGTTGCTCCCCTGTTGTTGTTGTTTTTTTTGTTGTTTTTTTTGTTAAATTTATCCCAAATCTTGGGACCGTAGACATAAATGCATACACCAGAGCAGACTGTACCACTGAGAGTTTACCCTGCAGTATTGTTTTTGGATCTCCAGGTCTTTTACCATGTGACGCCATGAATAATGTTCACTCCTGTGGCTCTTTGTGGTCCTGTTCCTTTTGGAGAATTCAATTGGCATCATATAGAACACTTCCAATCTACTATCACTGGAACTTTTTGGCAAGGTGTCTAATGATTTATCTCAAAAACATGACCTCACACTTTGTCCCATAGTGCAACAGTCCTTTAAGAGACTGCTGTTTGGCTGAGCTGTGAATTGTCTCTGGTGAATGGATAATAAATAATGTCTTGGTACGGTTCCAACAGGATGACTGAGTCAGGCACTGAGGAACCTCAATGAGGTGAAAGGAAGTGGCTCATTCCAAGGCTTCGGGCCATTGTGCGTTGTCATCTCTTGATTTTCGGCATAATCAGTGTCTATAAATCCCCCTGTGGTTGAAGAATTGACCTTGAGTGTTTTTGCAAATAAAAAATGATTTATTGATCATTCATCAGTGAATGTACTAACAAAACAATGAAAGGTTAAGATTATTGTTCACGTTAATTTAGTTTAATTTCTTTTAAAAGGTCGTAGTATTCGTGTAAGGTTTTTAGCATAAACACGTGATAAAAGTCAATAAAAGACCAAACAATATGTGGAAAAAGACACACAAAAAAATTGACAAAACGGCAGGTCACACTTTCAAGGGAATTTGCTGGAGCGAGACAGCGCTGACTTCAGTGGTATAGCTGACGGCAGCAGTAACTGACACAAGTTTAGTTTCTACCAAAGTTTATTAATACTCACAGAGGCACCCATTGGGAGAGACGTGTCACACCACCTCAGGGGGTGTTGAATCTCACAGGTTAAACTTAGAGCGAGAAGCGTGGGCCACTGCTCCACCTGCTATTCTCTATTACGTGGAGCAGAATGTATCGTGTGCACTGTAAGCGAGTGAACAAAAGAAAAACGGTGGCAGTGAGTCTGTACAGTATACTCTAGTTTCCAAGTGCTTTCCATCAGTAAAGGTTACAGTTAGCCAGGGAAGACACAGTGAAAAGCACTCTTTTAGAGACATATTAAAAAAAACTAAATCCATGTTCTAATACACCTACTCAAACACACAGTCTGAGCGGCCCAGTCTGTGGTCATTGGTGAAACGTAATTTACATGTCATCAGAAATTTCTCCTGACCAGGTTTCAATATCTGACCCAGCCAAAATCGTAATGAAATATATCCTTTGTAGAGAATTGAGAGGACCCACATAACGAGAAGATTGGTCGGACGACGCCATTAAAACCCAGCGAACCAGTGTCACCCCAAGATGAAGGTAAGTCAAAAGTTGTTTATTCGTGATGAAGGTAAGTCAAAAGTTGTTTATTATCATATTTTTGCCATTCGTGAGCTGTGTTATCAGAGCATACATCTTGTTTTTTACCCATCTCAAATAGAAACTTGATAAAAAGCGAAAACAGATATTTTTGTTATATCCATTAAATGAAATAATCTCAGTTTCAATCTTTAGACCAAAGCAAGCCCAATAAACCTCTTTAAAAAAACTAGACTAAAAAACATTGGGATTAATAGATTTTTGAAAATGATAAAACAGTTAAGTGTTTTGTTTTGTTTTTTTCCTTATCTGTAAGTCCAGACATTACTCACATTAGTGAGCTGGCAGTTTCCAAATTACAGAACAGTCATGGTTGCTGTTATCGTAGACGATCATGGATGACGCACTGATTCTGTGACGTAATAACATCTGAAATAACAGTGTGTTGTACTGACAGGTCAGGCTGTTTGGTTCAAGAGCAGTTGAACAGTAAAAGACAACGGGGCAGACGAAATGTCTCCACTCTTCCACGATGACTCCCGCATCCTTCAGACTTAAAGTCATGTGGAGGGCTTAAGGTTAGCTGTTGCTAAGCTTCCACCACAGTTGACTTAAGAGTCAGCAGTCAGCCACATCATGAAAGAGGGCAGAGGCACAAAAGGAGGTGTTGGTGACAGGAAGTGAGGACGGATTATAGAGATGGATTTGGATGCTGGTGAAGGGCAGCCAGATGGTGAGAATTAAGGAAAAACAGTGAGCAGCAAAGCTTATCAAGGCAATTGAAATTCAGCAGTCTACCGCCGGGCGCTAGGCTATAAACATAGCTGCTGTTCCAGCTGAGGCCCAGTGTGCCTCAGTGCCGAGGAAGATCATCATCTAACCTCCTGCTATATCCAGTAAGCTTCAATGGTTTTATATCTGCATACAAAAACCCTGTATTTCTTGGAGAAGGATAGTTTGGCAAGTAGTTTGAAAGAACATTCCATACCCCCAAAATTGCATTTTAATCTCAAAGTTGTTTCATCTGTAATCCTAAGAGTTCGGTAATAAAGTGAAGGAACAAAAAAGGTTTGAGGTGATTTTATTTATTTATTTTTTTTGTATCTGTAAAGCACAGCGTTTACAGAAATTGTTCATAGCGTCTATGCTAGACATACACTTCTCTCCTGTATTCAGTTCCAGTCAGATAGTTGGAGTAGACTTTACATAAGATTCGCTGAATTTCGAGTCACCCCTGTCAGCCTGCGGGTATTACTGTCAGGGTGCTGTGATGCGGAACACTGACCTGTTCTTTCCTATGGTTTAACAAAGTGGCATCTCAAACATGCAGGATTTGTCTCATTTCAATACCGTGCACTTTTCTTCCCTCTTATGTGGCAACCCAAAGGATAATACTAATTAAAAAAATGTTTTCCATATTAAAACATAGGGGAAAACTATATTGGACTGTTTTGTTTTTTTTTTGTTTTTTTTTAGCAGTTACCACTTTTGTAAGTTTGGAAACTTTTCAGATTTTCTGTGGGTCAAATCACCGCTAAATAGCTGATTATTACCTTTCCCAATACGTGTTTAAAGCTTCATGTACATTTCTACACAATACCTGAGTTAAAATCCGAGTGTTATTTAACGACTTAACAGCAAAACTTAAGTAAACTTAATCCTTCAATCACATTTCTTTTCTTGTACCAGTGGGATCTTTTGGCTGGAAGAGCTTTAATTTTCACCTTGCTTTTTCACTAGATGGAGTGCTAACTAATACCTGGAGGTATGTAGCAGAATAATTTGCACCGTCGAGATGACAGAGGTGTTAGGGAATTAATTATGGCATTAAACGTGCAGATAGCAACACTCTCTATGCCTCTGAGAGATGAGAGCAGAGAAAGACACAAAGAATACTTAAAGGAGATCGGTAGGTTGTAAGTTATCTACGGCCTGCAGCTTGATCAGCGTTAAACATAGCTAAACACTTAAAAGTGCGATAAATGACAGAAAGAGGAAAAAAAAACTCGGCTTTCTCTCTTCCTGTCAGAACAGCTCTGCGTCATACGCAAGTCAGCTTCACTTTTTCATCTCCTGTATTTTCAACTTCTGCAGAGTTGTAGACTCTTTTCTTTCTGTCTCAGACAAATAAAGGTACACAGAAGGCTGACACGCTCTCATCTCCGGCTGCTTCACAGGACATTATTGCTTTGACTGAGTGTGACAGCCCTTATCACGGCTGTCAAAAGATTCGGCCTGCAGCATATCAAACTGCAGGTTACAGTGCGACTGGTGACATGCTCCATCAGCCATTAAAGCCGAATCACTGTCATTGGGACATGGCCGCCGACAATCAGTCATCACAGGGAGCAGTTCGTAGATTAAATTGGTTTCAAGGTGATTGCAGCGGAGGTTTGTTGTCCGTGGATCGGTGGGAGGTTTGTGATTTGCGATGATTACTTTTATTTTAAGTAAACAAAAAACTACTGAAGCATGTGATGCAGGTTGCTTTGAGATCCTTATTGACTCTTCACTGTGGTATCTTTTAGAAATGTACAGTGCATTGAGGAGACTGTTGTAGTTCAAAGGAAAGCATCAGTTTTATTAGAGATACTTTTCAAGTGCGGTAGTGTTAAAAAAGTGTTTTTGCGATTTTTACACCAGCCAAGTTGCTGAGACGTAAGAAACTAGCAATCATATCCCTTAAAAATAATTTAGAATAATTATCAGTACTCTTTCCGCTACTGCGATATATTTAAAGCCATTTAGTTAGATTTTATTACAAAAAGTCTCTTAAATTTACTTGTAAGATTTTTATTACTAAAATATTAATGTATTATTTTAGTTGTAAAATGTATTAATGAAAAATAAATATTTCAAAATATTAAAAAATCTCAGGTAACAGTATGTAATGGTCAGACTGCCAAAGGCAAATTAAAGTACCTTTAATTTCTGCACCATGTACAGCATAACAGTAAATCACTGTCAGTCACATAAGAAGAAAAAAAAAAATGATGATGGATGTCACTGTATTTGCTAAACTCCCGTTTTTCTCCCCTTTCTCTTACAGTGGAGACCCTTTTTTTTCTTTGCAAAAATCTTGGTTCAGCTGAAAATCTGAATTAAATTCATCTTTAACTGTGTAAATATTAAAATATCTATTTATCACTTTTTGCAGTGAATAGAGTTTCGTAATATAGCAATTTATCTAGCTTTTTATAGATTTAAAAAAACCTAAATTCTATTTAGAAGTATTTATTTCTATATAATAATTACTTTGTCCCTGCCAAGACGTTACTTTATGTAGCTTTAGATGACAGTGAGAACAGAAACAACAAAATGGTAACATTTTCTAGAGCCACTACATAAAAGTTTCGCTTTGAAGCAGAAGTGAGCAATTATGGGTCACACATAAATCTAAACCAGCGCACACCGACCTGATGAAAGAGACTGACACAGCAGAGGAAAATACCGTCAAATACCAGGGGCTGCAGCCGGAGATTGAATCCAGGTCTTTCCACAGTGGAATATTATAGCTGTGCTCCAACACTGCACCGAGGGCCGTGCTCCCCATAAAACATCAATTGAAGCTTTCTGAATCACCTCACAGGTCAAGTACAAACCAGGAGAGACAGCCCTTTTGAAACTGTGGGTTTGGAGTTTCAATTTAGGTCGGCTATGATGGAAACTTTCCCAACATGAAAGGAGCTTTAGGTGAAAGCAGATAAAGCTGATGCCAACGCTGGCTACAATGCACAGAGGACACATGGTAATGGGGAAAACAAAGCAGCGGCCAGTGACATTTATATTAAATTGTAAGGAATGTTGCTGAACCCCCAAGGGTCAGCATATAGGTGGCTGTCAGTCACATTTTAAGGCTCGACAAGCTCATTCCAGGGGTTAACAGTTGGCTGATATGGGAGGAGGATGAGGTGAGCTGGGGCTGAGGTACAGGTGGGAGGAGAGGGCCCAGGCACCTTACCTTAATCCCCCAAACTTTCTCCTGAAGGAAGCACTTTTTTAATTCCAGATTTATCCTTCCCCAGGGAGGAGCTGTTATCAGCTGATTCTTTCTCCCTCCCCCTTCCACTGTTTTCCTTTTTGCCTTCCTTTCCTCTGATGCATCTGCCAGGTGTGATAAGGCAGGCAAACCTTACCTTTGCAGGGCTATTAAAACCATTTCCCCTTGCAGTTTTGAAATGATTATCGCCTCAGGCCCGCAGTTACAGGTTAGCTCGACTCCATCTGCCCATATCTGAACGACTCTTTGAGGCTTAGGTCTGGCTGGTTTAAGATTATATGCATTGCTTTAACTGCCTGAATACCAAGGGAAAATGGCAAAAGGAATAACGGGAGGAAAAAGGAGAAGAAAAAAAAACAGGGTGAAAGAAATGAAAAGAGTGAGAGTCCTGACATCCACAATGCTGTGGCAGATGATAAGGGATACAGTGACAGCTCTTCCTCCGTCTTGTCTGAGGATTTGGCTCAGTATATGTGGGACACATTGTCAGCGAAAGGGCAGCCACAGTTAGACCCAAAGGAAGAAAGGTCTTTCTCATTTGCCTCTCAAGAAGACTGCAAATCAGATACATGTATATCCTTATAAAGTGGGGATGGCATTAAAGCAGACAGCAGCCATGATTTATAACAGAAGCCCAGGGGGAGATTTAGTTTGGGGGAGGAGAAAAAAAAAGTTGAGTTTTTCTATGTAAAATAGAATCAGGTTATTGCATGGAAGGAAGACAAACAGACGAAGCTATTCCATTAACAAACACTTAAAAACTGCTTGCATTAGCCCTTTCGTTAGCCACTGAGACAGCTACAGTATCTAAGCCCCAGTGCGGAAGCTTCCTGGCAGCCGACACTGTCTACCAAATCCTCTCAAGCTTTACGTCTGCTCCATTGAGATATCACCACTGACGGCAGCTGCCGCTGGCTTCCTCCCATTACCTACAGCTCACTTATCTGTCTGCCTTCACTGATGGTCTCCCAATTTCCTGCCCCTGTTATTTTAATGTGACTCCTACTGGTACTCCACCTGGAACAACATTGTTCTCTTTGTTATTCACTAATTATTTTAAAAAAACTTAAATTTTTCCAGACAAAATCATAACACAATACATTTTTCAGTGGCATTAAGCATCATTTTTTAAAAACTATGCTTGACAACAAATTAAAAAAATAATGTACCCAGTACATTTCTGCTAACATTCTCTGTGATGCCCTTATATGGTTAAAAACATCGAGCTGAATACCTTCAACTTAGTGAAGATAAACCAAGCTTTTTCGCAGATGAATATATTTCTGGTCTGTTTTTAAATGTCAAAATCACTTTTTATGTTTAAGACAAATACAATTGCTCCTTGGGGGATTGGTGGGAGGGGGAGGGCCAGGGGCTTAAGAATGTCTTTAGTACCTCTAAATATAGACTTGGACCACGAATGAACTCGGGCTATAAAAACATCGTTTAAAAATCAGTCTACTGCCTCTGAGGTGTGAGGTTGATTGAGACAAAAGTCCTTTCTTAGGGCCGTGAAGAGGGACTTGTCACTGGCGACGTCCACCGCTGTTCCTCCGACCTTGCTTTAAGTGCCAGCTTGTTATTCTACACAATAACATAAAGCACCTTTGACTAAAGTAGGTCCTTTAACCAGTGCATCCAGCCATTGGGTCGCCTTTGACAGCGACTGCTCAGCCATGCAGTCGAGGGCCTGCTGAGAGCTTTTCACCCCTGGGTTTAATGAGCTATGTTCGTGTCCACTCCACATCAATCTCAGTCCATTATTGACTCCAAAAAGCTTTTCCAAGTGTCGTTTGGAAAGTGGGCTTACTTCACCAATAGGCTATTCATGATCGTGGCAACACTCCTTAAAAAGGGTCGTTTTAGTTCAGCTTTGTCAATGGAACTAAACAAGTGAATGGATCAATAAATAACAACTTTAACTGTGGGATTTTGTTAATTATACAGCGGTGACAATGCCTTTGATTGTGCTCCGGTTGCTCTGTCTTATCCGGACGTAAAAGACGAGGGCGGCGGCGTGGTTGCTGTGTGTTTAGACGCTTTCATCATCCTCGGCGGTCCGTTTTTAGTTTGGTCGTGTTTTTATCAAGAAAGGAACAACTGAATCAGTACCGTGCTCTCAGGATTAATTGAAGGCCTCGTAGGTGTTTTAAAGCATCCACTCTCCTGCCTCTGAACCCCCGGGGGTGTTGTTTTCTCTGCCGTGGCGTTATGAGGAAATTTCTGGTAATGAAAAAAAACAACAGTGTGAGCCCAGCCTGCAGTACAGGGCAGCCTCCTCAGGGAGATGAGAACATCGTACGAGTGAAGCCCTTCAGTAATGGAGTTCACTATTAATCATCTCCCTCCAATGTCTTCCCAGTGTCTCCCTTCCATTTCATTGTCTCAGCCAGAGACACATACTTTACTACTACTCTTTCATCAGTGCCAGTAGCTTCGCCAGTAGCTTCAGTCAGTCAGTCAGTCAGTCAGTCAGTCAGTCAGTCAGTCAGTCAGTCAGTCAGTCAGTCAGTCAGTCAGTCTGTCTGACTCTGGCAAAGGGCCTCACGATTGTATTGAAATCAACTCTCGACATGTTCTAGAAGTCACCGTCAGAGTGTGAATAAAAAATTGGAATAATTTATCAATAATAATAAAATTATATTTTT